AAGTGCTAATGGAGACGACGAAGGGAGAAACGCGGAGAGGAAAGGATGAGACGAAGGACGAAGCCTTACCGGATTTTTCCGGCCTCCCTCGAGAGATCATCACTGATGTTTTTCTTCGATTGCCGGCCAAATCTGTTGGGCGATTCAGGTGTGTTTCTAAGCCTTATTGCTCTATGTTGTCGGATCCTGGATTCGCTAAGAGACATCTCGCTTTAGCCCTTAAGAAAGATTCCGGCTGTCAGAAGCTCGTCGTTCCTTCACGGAATCTACACTCCGTGGACTTGGATTCGATCGGTGATGGTTGTGAAGGAACTATGGTTTTGTCTGGTGTTAAAGATCATCCGAAAGATGGTTTGGAATCGGTTTCAGTAGACTGGGTAGAGATGATTGGATCGTCCAACGGCTTGGTCTGTGTCTATTCTCAGAAAGGATCGTCCAACGGCTTCGTCTGTGTCTATTCTCCGAAAGGCGGTGCCTTTTTGCATAACCCAACGACCGGAGAATCCAAAAGAATACCTGAATCTATGCTAGACATTGTGCACGCATGTAGACATTTTGGGTTTGGCTTCGATACTTTGACTGAGGATTACAAAGTTCTGAAGTTTGTTGCTAGTGACGAAGGTTATCGCAGTGTTGATGTCTACTCTTTGAAGACAGACTCGTGGAAGCGTATCTCTGGTCTGCCTTATAAGCGCCTCGGTTGCAATCCCGGCGTGCATTTCAACGGTGCCATCAACTGGGTTGTCAAACTTCACAAAGGTCATAACCCCAAGCGAGTGGTGGTGGCGGCATTTGATCTTAAGACAGAGAAGTTCCGTGATATTCCATGTCCTGATGAGGTTGAGGATTGCAAGTACCTCAAGGCTGCTACTCTTAAGGGACGTCTATGTCTGGTTTACGACAGCTTTGATAAGCACGACGATATATGGGTGATGAACGAATATGGCCTCGAGAGTTCATGGACTAAGATTCGACTTAGCATGTCCTACAGATCCATGACACCACTCTGGTCGGCCAAGAATAGCGAGGAGGTACTTCTACAGCTTGATGGGAAGTTTGTCTTGTACAACTTTGAGTGCAAAACCTGTAGGAATCTGGAATTCAGCAATGTTACATTCCGCAAGATGTTTGTGGCCAGTACGTATGAAGAGAGCCTCATATCACCCAACTCGTATGGTAATGCTTAGAAATCAGAAAGGTGAAAAGACTAGTGGTGGCTGGACATGATTCCGACTTCAGATTATGTTCACTAGTTCTCTATCCTTTCAGTCTTCATTTCGCTAGTTCTACTTCTATCCTTCCATGGTTCATTTCAATGGTTTCGATGCATATAGGTACGTAGAGAGTCTTGTATCTCCCAACTCATTTTGTGTAGAGAGCTGAAGAAGATATTTAGGTTATGATGGTTGTTCATTTTTGAAAATGCTTGCGTCTTTTTTGACTTTTCTCTATGTTGTTATGTTAAGCTATCAAAACAAAAACAATGACATGAGCATGTTTTAGTTCAAAACATGATCGTATTAGTGTCCACGGACTTTGTAATTTATCTCACATAAAACAAAGATACCGAGGAGTCGCGAAAGAATGTTTACCAGGCTTAATGTAAAAGGAGAGTGATAACAGTTTCTTTAAATTGGGAAAATGGGAACAAAATGAAAAGTCACATTGTATTCAAATGTCCGAGGGAACCTGTTAGAAAAGACATTTTGACATCAACAATATCCTTATCAATCACATATCCAGGAGATCTAATGATGCATTCACTGGAAGTTGGTGTTTAATCTGAAGTGTGTTTTCAACATAAAAGAAATCGAAAGATCGTACCTGCACAATGTACTAATTTATGGCCAAACTGGACAAGTCCGTAAAACCACTTAACAGATTTCTTGTAAACTAAGAAGGTTACTCAAGAGTGCAGACGTTTTCATGATAGAACCAAAAGAACATTTTTATTCATAAATTGTTTTAGTACAAAGACAAAAGGCCAAACCTTTGGTTTGGTCACTTCTGCTAATCAAATATCATATACAAGAAAACAAATTAACGGAGACCATAAGTAAATTATTCATTTGTTACTCGTGATTTACTTCTGCTGATGGAAATAAGGATGCAAGAAACGAACACCTTCGAGGTACAATGGAGTCTGCATCTCGATCAACCGTGAGGCCTGCATTCAAACATAATTAACCAAATACTCTAAACCATCTTTTTTGATGAAAAGAATATTAGAAAGTGAGAAACTATACTTACAGCTCGAGCAAAGGCAAACATTTCCTCTTCACCAGAAAGCATTGATACGATCGACGAAGGCGAGCCAGCAGCACTTATGCTACCTTCTGCAAGCACATCTCGCCTTAATCTCGAATCTTCTGTCTCCGTCTCAAACTGGAAGCTGCAAATTTCCGATAAATATTTGAATTGGTAAAACGAAAAAATCAAACAGAGTCAAATCACAAACCGGATTGTCCACTCTTTTTATGTTGTCAGTTTTGCGTTCTTACCTTTCGAGGTCAAAGAGCGTACCCTCTGCAGTTCCTTGGAACAGCTCATCAATAGGTGACTCAGCGCATGAGACAAGACAACAATGGTGGTTGTATAGCTCATCCACAAGGGTTATAAACCTACGTGCCTGAGAACATCACCAAAAGACCTAGGAGTAAATTCACATCCCCCCCAACAGCCATATATCTTGATTTGGGTTATACCTTGTCGCGTATTTCCATGCTCATTGCTGGAATCTCTGAGATAAAGATTGTATGATAGTTTTTGGCCACTGCGATATAGTCTGCTGCACCTACCGGTCGACTACATAGATACTCGAATGTGAATCTTGCCACTCCATTACAGCTTTCAGGAACCTCCACTGTTCTGATGATACACACGCAAAAAAACAAAAAAACAAAAATCCACTGTGATTAAATTTGATCCATAACAAAAAAGGAAAACCACTGTTCTCATTAGTACCTTCCGAACATTACTGGGAGAGTTGCAGAAGTTATTTCTCCACCGTACTGGTCAGTGACCTGATGCCACATTTTCTCAAATTCTTCCAGAACAGCATTATTCAAAGGCCATAAGTAGTGAACCTACAAATGCGCATTTACAGTTTCACCAAATAGAAGCGGAAAAAAACCAATAAAGCATGTAAAGAGTCTGTGGTTCACACATTTTCAACTGAGTTCTTTGCTGCAACTCGGCGGTAATCTACTTCGCTTCCAATCGAGATTATCTCACAATGTTTCTCCAATTTAGTGATAAACTTATCAAATATCTCCTTCTGCATTCCGTCCTGAACCAACAACATGAGCAAGAACATCAGTGGCTCAGCGCAAACAAAAAAAAATTGTCTAATCAAGATATGTGTCCTCAATGAATTGCTTAACAACTCCTGATGGATCAGTAAAGAGACCTTTTTCTGAAAACACGCCTACGTGGGTTTCTACTTCTCCATAAGAGGGAAGTACAAACACACTAAGTCTTTAAAAGAGAAAAAAACCTGATTCAACTCCCGCGGTGCTCGGTTACTGGTGGCCACAAGAACAGTTCCAGTAGTCAACAATCTGCTCATAATTCCAGATAAGGCGACAATAGCAAATACATCAACAGTCTGTAACAGAAGATGCAGGAAAGTCCAAGTTACTGAAAGGATGAACACTATTTGCAACTTCATCTGAGGCCAAAAGATAGCAAATCCAGTGCATCTAAGCCTGGAATTGGCTTTGTGACTTTTGCGTGGAAAGCATCTTGCGAGTCAAGGTTTTAACACTTCATTACTTCCTCATAGACAACAATTTAATCTTAGAAGAATGAATTGGATACTGAATTTTTCTTTGACAATTTCATGTATACAGTTAGTCAGTTACCTGAATCTCGTCAAAGCAGAGGATGCTAGCTCCTTTTTTACTCGATTTCTGATCAACGAGAAACTTGTCAGCCACAGCTGGAAGAATGTGTTTCATTTGGAGTTGCTGCTTATAAAATTCTTCTCCAGCTAGCCATTCCTTAACTTTTTCATCAACAGGAAGATTCATAATCCAGCTCGAAATGCTATATTGTGAGGATTTCTCGGCACCATTCTCCTTCCAATACTTGTGCATTTGCTCGTTTATCTTCAGCATAGCCTAAGGAAGAGAGAAACGAAAAAATATCATAGTCTGAATGAAAGTTATTTAGCAGCAAAAAAAAAAAAGAGTCTCTAAAGGCTAAATCACCTCATGAAAGTGAAACCGTTGTCGATGTCTGATGATCCCGTCAGTGACGCTATAAAACATATCCATGAGCATAGTCTTGCCTACATNAAAAAAAACAACCGTGGTCTCAACTAGCTAACCTTGTTGGCTATACAGTAAAGATGAATAGGAAGGAAACATCAATGTAGCAACAGCCATTAACATACCACACCCTACATTTCCATAGATATATAATCCTTTAGGAGCTGGTGGTATTGCAGGACGAGAACCGACAAGTGAGTCCAATTTTCTCTCTCGGTTAAGGTACGACACCCATTTACCAACTCCAGGCTCTACGTTCATCTGTCTTCGCCTAAATACGCCGAGAGAAAAAAGACAAGACCTTTTGAAGGAGAAACAAACAAATCTCAACTAAAGAAGACACAATTGACAAAAAAATCCTCACCCTAAGACCCATCTTCCCAAAAGCTTTTGCCCATGCTTATTCATAGATGCCCACA